ATGCCATACTTTTAATATCAACTGACCATAATTGAATAGTAATAAAATAAAAATTGATATCTTATAACTTTCTTAATTAAAAATTTTTGCAAAATACTAACAGAGAAAATACTGCCCAGAGAAAACACTATCTATATTTGGTCAAAGTCCTTATGTCTAAAGTGATGAAAGCACAGAGTATTTGTTTTCAATAAAATTATCTGACAGAAAATTCCATATCATAACAAAGATGAATTCTTAAAATTTCAACTTCTAGCTTCTGTTTCCACAAAAATCAAAGGGATTATGTCTTCAGAGAGAAAGTAGTACAGTTTTCAAGCTGAAATGGTTTCCAAAAAAACTAGTCTCCCAATCCCAGGTTAATTAAGGAGGTGATACCATCAGGTGAGTGTTCTAAAAGTATATTGTCAAATGTAAAGATATTCTAATTCCTCCTAAGTGACAACAGGTACATTCCTACAGAGGAGCCTTTATAACATAACATCCTATTAGGACACCCCAAGTAGGTGTGTAGACCTTGTTATAGCGAAAGCCTTCTTATTAACCATTCAAAATACATATTTTCAAATGTGCATTGGTTATGAGAAATATTTTTGAGCAATAATGAGAAATTATTTTGATAAAAAAAAGCAAAACCAAGCAAAAACAATCAAACTTATTTGATTTCTAGGCAGTAGAATTCCATAGAAGTAAATGTTAGAAATCAATTTTATTCACTTGGCAAATCAAGATATCCTTCAATCAAGTCCATCCATTCATTCATTCATCCCTTCAGCAAAAACAGTACTGCCGGATACCATGTGCTGGGCACTGGCATAAAAATGATTATTAACAACTATTGTATTAATAGGCTGCTATCTTTTGGCATCTTGCAATACAAAGAACATCTTTAAAATTGCATGAACGCTTCTAGAAATATAAGAGTATATTTGCCTTCAATATAGATAATCACTTTTTAATATATTCTAATGGGTGACTGCTAGATTCTTATAGTAGCTCAAATATCCTCTTGACTTAGGAAATGGGATTGGGACACATTCCTCACGTATTGGATTAGTAAGGGTGAGCACTGAAGACTATGATGCCTAACAACGATGCATCAAAGGAAGAAGAATATCAAATAAAAATTTTGCATGAATCACTTTTTCCCCTGTGACTGGCTTTGCATCATGGTGCAGTATTTATAGCTAGGTTACTTAGATATGACACATAAGAGCATATAACAAGTATAATGATTGATCACTGTTTGGTCACCTTTTTAATATTTAAACACAAGAGGTAAGAATTTACCTTGCACATAGGTACAATATATAACTATTTGTAATGTGCAATTTGAAAAGAACTTTCAGCTTCGTTAGGACTTGAATTTATTATCATTATTAAGTTCTTTTGACTATAACAATGTTGTCAGAGGTTACTTTTAAGTTGCTGGTAGTGATAAAACATTAGAATACTCAGCAACCATCTCTTCTTTATCCCCTTCTGGACAGAAGTAATAAGGTC